CTCCACAAGTGACACACTCACTGAGTGAATTCAGTGGATACCAGAGCACTGCTGAAGTAAGTCTTGCTCTGTGTGGTGGGCCCCTGCACAGCTGCTCCTCCAAGGTAGTCAGAGGTCAGTGGTCAGTGCACATAGCCAGTCCTTGCAGCTGATCAGCCTGAGTAAATCTCTCCCATTGACATGCCAACAGTAATCAAGTCTCAATAACAACAGAAGGGTGTACAGTCCACATGAGGGGTGCACCTCGAGGGTCCAACTAGGGTATTCAGGGAGCCTGTGCCACTGGATCCTACAGGACACCTACTACAATAGGCCACCCTACAAAACCTAGGAGATTTAGCAACTATACCTAATACATAGAAACAAACATAGGGAGGCAGCCAAAATGAGGAGACAAAGAAACATGTATCAAATGAAAGAACAGAACTAAACTCCAGGAAAAGAACTAAATGAAATAGAAATAAGCAATCTAACAGATACAGAGTTCAAAACACTGACATAAGAATGCTCAATGAACTTAGTGAGGGCCTCAAGAGCATAAAAAAGAACCAGTCAGAAATAAAGGATGCAGTCAGAAATGAAGGGGGTACTAACTGAAATAAGGAATAATTTATAGTAGAGTAGGCAAAGCCAAGAAGCAAACCATCAATTTAGAATATAAGAAAGCAAAAACACCCAACCAGAACAGCAAAAACAAAAAAGAATCCAAAAAAAATGAGGATAGTATAAGAAGCCCCTGGGACAACTTCAAGCGTACCAACATTCATATCATGGGGGTGCCAGAAGCAGAAGACAGAGAATAAGAAATTGAAAACCTATTTGAAAAAATAATGACAGAAAACTTCCCTAACATGATGAAGGAAACAGACATACAAGTCCAGGTAGCACAGAGCGTTTCAAACAAGAAGAACCCAAAGAGGCCCACACCAAGACACATCATACTCAAAATGCAAAAGGTTAAAGACAGAGAATCATAAAGGCAGCAAGAGAAAAGCAGTTAGTTACCTACAAGGGAGCTCCCATAAGTTTCTTTGATTTCTCGAAAGAAACTTTGCAAGCCAGAAGGAAGTGGCAAGAAATATTCAAAGTTATGAAAAGCAAGGACCTACAACCAAAATTACTCTATCTTGCAAAGCTATCATTTAGAATTGATGGGCATATAAAGAGTTTCCCAGAAAAGAGAAAGCTAAAGGAATTCATCACCACCAAAACAGTATTATATGAAATGCTGAAGGGTTTTCTTGAAGAAAAAGAAGATAAAAATATGAAAAATAAAATGGCAATTAATACATATCTATCAACAGTTGAATCTACAAAACAAATGAACAAGCAGAACAGAAACAGACTCATAGATGCAGATAACTTTTTGTTGGTTGCCAGATGGGAGGGGTGTTGCAGGAACCGGTGAAAAAGTTGAAGGGATTAAGAAGTTAAAATTGGTTGTTAGACTGACAAACCTTAAAGGGGAGGGGCGTGGTAAGAGATAAACCAAAGAACTGATATGCATATATGCATAACCAATGGACACAGACAATAGTCTGGGAAAGGTAGGAGCGGTCGGGAGAGGGGGGGAAGTGGGTCAATAGGGAGAAAAGAAGGGACATCGGTAATACATTCAATAATAAAGATACGTTTAAAAATAAATAAATAAAACAAAATAACAACAAAAATTAATAGCATCTCTGAGAATTCCCTATAATTAAACTAGGGATGCAATTTTGTTCTTTGTCTAGGTTATTGGTGTATGAAAGAGCAGTACGCCTTTCTCTTTCTTTCTCTCTCTCTTGCTCTCTCTCTCTCTCTCAATCTTTCTCACTCTCTTAAAATTTTAAGTGAATTTTTAAAAAATAGGGGGAGGGCACCTAATTTGGAAGAGAGACCTGAATTCAAACTTAGTTTCTCTAGTTATCTCTATTTTTATCTTAATATCTTTAAGTATGAATTTATCCATCTATAAAATACATATAATGAGAGCAAATTTTAGGGTTATTAAAAAATTAGATATGCCTAAATGTAGATGCCTAGCAAACACAATATTAAAATAAATAATGGACTAATGTTGACAAAATCTGAATCAATTTCTATGGTAAATTTTAAGAATTACCATAATATGTGAATTTATAAAAGAGTAATACGTTTTAAAAATTCTGTCTATTCAGTTTCAAATGCATGTGGATAAAAAATATTACTGAAACACTTAATTTCCTCGTCCATTGCTAACAATTCTTCACATCCCTTTGGTAGAAACAGAGAAATAAGACAATAATTGTTGGCTATGTCTCTTCTATTGTACTGTGACTTAACTTGTGTCAAAGACCTAGTGACATCAGTGAATGAAGAAAGTACTTGACCATTTTAAAAAGGTGAGTAATAGCCAGGTAACCACAATGACCAAACGACTGATATTGAAACTGTTGTTCTTGAAACTAAATAGTCATCACTGTATTCTAGAAGGTCTTTTACTGTGTACAAGGTAAGAAGAAACTGCAGGCTCAGCACCACTTACCCAACGTAAAAAACCCATATACAAAATCTTCATATAAGACTCATCAAATCTCTGCTTGTACAGGTCTAGTAATGGGAGCCTAATATTTCCAAAAGTAGTGAAATACATTATTGTTCAACTCTGCTTTGAAGTTATTCCTTAATTGAGTAGAAATCTGTTTCTATATAATCCCCATCCACTGATCCTAAGTCTACTCTTTGGAGATAGCCTTGCCAGTAAAAAAAAAAAAAATCCTTCAGTAGGAAAATTTTTACTAATCTAATGAGTTTAGTAATAGGAATTCAATAAATATTCTTAGACTAAGTGAACAGAAAAAAAAATTTAAGCAAGAAAGCTTCCCTGTCATTATGTACTTAATATTATTAACTCAAAAAAAAATACATTTTCATATATTTATCTAGTCTATTTGAAATGTGTGATATAAATGCATTTTTAATTCATTCATGCAAATTGTCATCTATTGACTAAAAGCAGGGTATTAACTAATTGATTTTATTCCAAAGCAACTGCCTTGGGGTTGCATTAAAGCCTATGAAAGGTTAGAAATTCTTGTAAGGTACCCAAGTTCCAAGTTGAACAAAAAGAAACAGATTGTCTTTGCTTTAAAAGAATCTCTCTCTCTCCTTCTCTGCCTCTCTCTTCCTGTCTCTCTGAACACACACACACACACCCCTGGAATACTAGAACAATCCATTTTATTTAAGTGTCTTTTACTCACATGTAAAGAAAATGTTCTTGAGATGAAGTTCCCATTTTTCTCAGAAAGAGAAACCTAACTAATATAACTTAAAACATTTTTACATGTATCATTCTTTTTAATCTCATTTCTTACTCCCAAACAAAAAAATAAAGACATAAAACACATGCACAAAATAAAATTCAAAGTTGAAAATAAATGGTTTATTTTAAAATAAACAAATTTACAAATCAAATGAAAAATGGAAAATACAAAAGTTTATGAATAAAATAAAAAATATAATCTTAAAATATTAAAACCTATGAAAAGAAAATGGATAATTAACAAGTGGAGTGATGTTTTGTTCCCCAATACAATGGAATGCTTGTTTATTAGAATCCTAGGGAATCATCTAAGTTACAATACAGAAGAGAATTAAACAAATTTTATACGATTGTGTAATTATACACTCTGTATATCATAGTTCTTTGTTAATGTGGGTGCAGAAGGTATTTATATTGTATATCTCAAACTGCTACATTTTCTTTTAAACTTTAGATATTTTTTTAACATGAAAATAATTTCTTCCTACTGTCTAAATTATGTTTCTTTGTTTCTCTCAAATATGATGTATTAGACATCTTCTGGGACATAAACAAAAAATATTGAAAAAAATTCTTAGAATGAGACATACCACGTAAATTTGAGATGCTTTAGATTTTAGCATTTGGAAAAGTTCAGTACCAATGAAAAGAATATAAATAGGGAAAAAAATGTCAGGAAGTTTCTAGGGTCACCCAACGGCATTTGGGATAAATATGGAATTCAAAGGTGCACACAGAATGCAGTATTGGCAAGAGAATGGACCCTTGGTGATGGGTCTGCCCTCTTTACCTGAAACTTGTGCAAGAATTTGATATGCAAAGCTCATCTGGAGTCAGGACTCCTCTGGTCCTGTGAGTGAAGGATTATTAGGAGGAGTCATTGTGGTTTGTAACAAGCAAAAGCATTAAAAAGGCTAAAAAAAATTTAGATCCGAGAATGACTTCTCGAACAGTTTCATAGTCAAGAATTCATGATTTTATTCAATTTAAAATGATCAATAACTCTTCTATAAAGAAATGATTTATTATGTACTTGAATACTGCTGAAGGACTTTTAAATGTAAGAGAGAGTTTTTTAGAATTGCTTAACACATTCATATCACTGGATAAAGATTTCCTTAAATTATGAATTATGGTGTTTCATGGGGTACTCAGGCTCATTTATAGGCATTTTATTTTTCCTTTTATTACACAACAGTCCAAATAGAGATTTAGTTCTCCAGTAGTTGAGCACTGAGATTCACATAGCTTAATTGTTAGGTGTGTGTACCAAAAACATAGTAGATGATCAACTAATGCCAGAGGGCTGGCCGCTGCTCAGCAGTGGCCATGGCAGCTCTGTGCACACAGAGGCGCTGCACCCAGACCAAGTGTAGCAGGAGTCAGTTATTCATACTAATTTAGGAAAGGCAAGAAGTGACAACAGCTACCACTCTGTGATCTGTCAATTCACAAATAATATGTAGAAAACACTGGCACAAACGCGTCACAGTAAAAACATAATTTAAAGACTGGACAAGCGTTCCAGTTACTTGTAATATTATGCTAGTGACTTTTTAAATTTATATGCATGTATATATACATCCAAATATAATTCATGTATGTATATATAGACATATATAATTCATGTGTATCTCTATGCATATATAATTTTTGTGTGTGTATATATATATACACACATACACACACACATATATATACACACACACACGTATGTAGATATTTATCACTCTGTAAACTCTGGACTTAGTTTTCACTTTTCCAAGTCTTAAGAACAATGAAGTTTTACTAAAAACAAACTAAAACAAGTTACATCGACAGTGACCTCTCAGCTGACTTGTTTGGAGTGAGTGCATTAACTGTAGCAGTGAGCAAAACAGGGAAAATACTAGGGGTTCTATTAATTCTCTTAGAACATTAATGTTGAACGCAACTGAGTCTAACTTCCATGCTTTACACTGGGGAGCCAGAAACAAGTGAGAGCAAATCACGGTCCCCATATTCACATTAGTAAGGCTGAGCATAAAAGACAAATGGCCAAACACCTGCTCTGCCCTTTTCTCACAAGCCAGAAAATGCCCTAAAAGCATTTTGCCGTTATTTCACTCCATTAGCACCATGAGGAGAAGCTTCCTCTCAGACTGAACCAAGTGTGGAGCCACCTGGAAATTCTGAGGGACTGATACCAGCAAGTTAGAGTAGACAGGGAAAACAGAATGATAAATATGGACTGACCTACAGATACTCAGAAGTTTACTGTAATAAGACAATTCCATTTTTTGAGTTGACACATATGACATCAATTACCTGAGATAGAGGGCACAGGGTATACAGTAGAGAAAATGCAGGCAAGTCCTTTAAACCTATTGTAAGGGACATTTCCAGTAACACCGTTCTGCATCGTCTAAGTGAGTGTCAGTTTTGCTGTGACGGTGTGTTGTACAGTAGGAGGAGCAAAGGAGCTCATTATCCTCAGCTACACTAAATATATACCCTGGTTATCTTTTTAACAGATGGGTAATAATAAAAGAAAAAAAAAACTATACTGAGACACTCATAATGACCCTGCCAACAGATGACCTCTCTTTAAGGGGTCTTTCAATCCATAGCCAAAGGCAGAGAAGGGACATGTAAGAACAGAGAAAGAAGATGCAGAAGACAAGCTTTGCATCAAACAACACTTTGCCTGCAAAGAACGTAGTGACATTGGACACTGGTGACAGACTGGTGGCACAATCATTCTAAATCTTAGTATTGCCTGAGGAAACACAACCAGTCACACAGTCACCCCGAATTTATCCCTAGGGGGAGGCTTCCATAGCACTCTTTTCTGTCCATGAAACAATAAATTGGGTATCAAGAAGGGGGAACTCTTTCTTCCCGGGGTATCCTTGGATCTGTTTACCCCTTTCATGTCCCTGTCACACATTTTTCAAGGATGAATAGGAGAGCCCCTGCTCCCCACTTCTAGACCACCTGGAACTTTTCTTCACTGGCATGGCCACCTGCAGCTGCTTCCAGAACCTGCCCTGTGGATACTTGGATTTCTCCCCTTTCCATTTAATGACCGTGAGCACCGTCTTAGCCTTCTTCAGCTCTTTCACTTTCGTCTCCTTTACAGCTTTGTACTGTACTAAAATGACGTTGATGTTTCCCCGAGAGGCCATGTTTTCTAGGCCAGCCTTGAGCTCCAGGAGGGCTTGGGTTCCCTGGAGCACGTAGTTGGGGCTTAGGACAACCAGCAGGCGTCTGCTTTTCTGAATGAAGCTCAAGGTCTCATCTGTGACAACTGGGAAAGAAAACACCATGGGGATTAGTGTTGGCCGAGAAGTCCCCCAAAAGGCATGGGGTCTGAGGAGCAAGTGTTGTGAACATAGGGTATCAGCCTGAGAGCTGAGGTGAAACTTTTGAATAAGAACACTTTGAACAAATTAATCCTTAGATCCTTCCACACTGTCCACCAAATACTACTCTCCTCAGGAAGAATAGAAACTATATGCACGTATTCCAACCCCAGAATCATTCCACACAGGACTGAAGCCAAAATGTGCTTCCATGACATTGGTCTTATAAGAATTATTTGGGACATTAAGGAATAGAAGGGTTGCACTGAAATAAATTTTTTCAAACCATGTGACATGGTGTAGCCCATGCAAAGCAGCTCCTGAGCCATTGCTCCCCACAGATACTCATGTATCAACTCCCTAGGGCCAGTGAGCATCCAATAATAAATACATTAGAGAATCCAAATCATAGAAATTCATTTTTTACAAACACAACAGCAAGAGCAAGAATCTTCTTTTTTTTTTTTTTTTAAAGTCCCTTTATGGGTGCCAGACATCTCACAACTAGAAGAATGTCATTGGAATAGGAACTTAAAAAAACATCTAGCCAACTTAATGGTATTTTGGCTGGCATCACATTCTCAGCTCAGCTTTCTATTCTGCTCTCTGCTCAGGAGACTAAATTAATCCCTGGATCTTTTTGCTTAAACTCCTATCATTACGATGAAGCCATGTGTTTCGGCAGCTGCTGGCTGATCTGTCTGCCTTCACTACCAGGCAAATGCTTTCTTCAGGTCAGAAAAGAAGGAAGAGCAAGAAAATGGAAATGCACCTTAATTTTATTCTGTTGTCAAGGGCTTTGATTAGTTCCTGTCACTAGATTCTTGGGAATAATCCATCTCGAGTTTGCTTATCAAGGACTGTCTAATCCTGTACCTGGGGTTCAGATAGGAGCCGACTCCAAGGAATTCACTAGTGTTGTGGAAAGCTATTTCATGGTTTACCATACTTTCCTAAACTGTCATTTTGCTCCTTAATCTTAGATAAAGAGGCAGTGGAGGGAAACTTGCAATTAAAATAGCATGTGTAGCCTGGAGGAGAATCCAGGAATAAGTAACTGTCTACTCCAAGCAGTGTTGTAGTACCACATGTAAGCATGGAAAGAGACCCAGAGGTAAAGAGGAACCAGAAAGAACAGCAGGGAAAACACAAAAGATGACAAGGATCAATCATCAAAGCAGGATTCAAGAGTAATTATGTAGAATTTGAATTCTTCAAAGAACGATCAACTCTTATTGAAGGGTCCTACACTGATATACTGAAAATCTTTATATTTTTTTACACCATAGATAAATATTTGTTGAATAGTTAAATAAATAAACAAATAGATGAATAAATGATTTAGGATTTTAAGTCTAAAAATGAGTGGAATTTATCCTTTAACTATATAATCAAGCCATCATTTCCTGGCAAAATGATACTGAAGGAGACACCCACTGCAGAACACAAGCAAGATGGGTGATGATGGGGAGATAAGTGATCCAACTAATTCAACATGAGGATAAACAAGTCTAGTCTGAATTAGACTTAGATTGAAGCTATTCACAATTATCCATATAACATTTTTAAAAAATAAGTGATTAGTGATTAATGTAAACAGTATTGTAAAGGAAGAAAATTTGTTGTGCTGAAGGTTAGAGACATCACATGCATTTTAACAGTACAAAGATTAACAGTTGGTTTAGGAATGCTATTATGTATTTATAAAACAGACTCAAATGGGCCATCACCTTGTATGTTACTGGGTGGATTTGAAAATTAGAGATGTACTTTTATGTTAAAACATGCAGCAATTCAAGCTTCTTTCTTTTTAACCTACTAGAATACACTAGACTTTGTAAAATTTTAAACTATATCTGAAACATGTAAGCTGATGAAAAGGAAGAGACTGACTCAAGGGAAAAGAGAATTTGAGTAGCACTGATTTGCTAGAAAATAAGCAAGGAACAGAAAATTAGCAAATACCATAGGGAAATATTCTAATTATTATCATTGTGCAATATACAAAAAAAATTCCATGCACAATCTTCTGCAACTAATTTTTAGTAAAATTGAGTAAACCTCAGTCTTTATAAAAATGTTTTGTTTCAGCTATCTCTGAAGAAAAAATTATGGGCAAATTACTGCAGATTCGTTAAATCTTCTAAGAAATCTAAATGTGAGCAAAAAGGATGGTTAAAGCTATGGCATTTTATAAAGCTCTAATCCACTGTGCATCCAAAATTTTCTGAAATCAAGTTTTTAAAGCATATAAGAGAAACTATGTTATACCATAAACTGCACTTGAGTAGTCTACATCTTACAATGAAGTTATATTCCTAGAGAGTCTCTATTACACGACATAATTGGACATTAAATGTCCAAAGATGCTGTGCTGTTATTCTCATCCATACTCCACAGCTAAAGATCCCTTTTGCCTTTCAGAGTGAGTGTCTCTTGGACTCATCTGAATACCTACTTCCCCCAGGCAGACTGTCTCTGTCAAAGATACACAGCTTGTATCCAAATTCATTCTCCAAAACTCCACGGAGGGTCAGTAATACAAATTCTTCTTCTTCAGCATTCCTTGCATAGGATACATAAATATCATATTCTTTCCCATCTAGAATAAAGAACACAGAACAAAGAAAAATTTGGAAAGTTTCTCAATGGTATTGCCTATTTTTCTTAAATACACTTTTGACAATTAGGCGGTCTCATTTTTTACATGTATGCATTATCTGACAGATTCCAGTGTGATTTCCCATGTGTGACAAGTCTCCAGGCAAAATGACTATTTTAAGGTGTAATTGCAAATTTTATCTGATGTGTCTTCTGCTCTCATCTCACCGAGTTCAGTTTCTATGGTGGACACTCAGTGAGGTTTGTTTCATTCAACTGTGAATTAATAGAATCAGGAAGCCAATAGTCAATCATAGGTGCTGGCAATTAATACATGACAGAAAATTTCTGCTGTCCTCTTATGTCACTCACGCATAAATTAGAATTATAAATTGACCAACCTTTTGGAAATGGTCTAATTTATATCTGAAAATAACTATAATTAAAATATATTTAGACTCAATACACCAATCTTTTCCAAAGTTGCCTGATTATAAAAATCACCTCTCATTAGAAACGTAGCTTCTGTGTCTCCCACAAACCTACTGGAGGAGAATTTTTATGGGCCAGGTCTAAGAATCTGGATATGTAAATGTTCTGTTCTTGTCACCAGGAAATTACACGCTAGAACAGCGCATGAACAACTTAGAAATATTGTTAAAATACAGATTTTAATTCAGAATAAGGGTTTGGCTTTAGATTCTGCTATGAATTAGTCCCCAGGTGAGTGTGAGGCTTCTGATGCATGGCGGACCCTGAGCACAGAGCGTGGCCCTGCACTGTCCGGGACAGCAGCCACAACCACAAGTGGCTACTGAGCACGTGGCATGCAGCTGGTCTGAACTGAGATACACTGTGGGTATAAGATTCAATACATACTAAAGTCTGAAGATTTTTAATACCAAAAAATAAGACCAAAATATTGCTATTAACAATATTATAAGCTAAATGTTAATCTTTCGTATATATTAAGTTAAAAAATATATTATTAAAATTTTCACTTTCCTTTTACTTTTCCTAATGTAACAACTGAAAAAATTTAAATTAAATTTGTGGCTTAAATTATATTTCTTTAAAAGAAATTTTTTTTCTTTTATGGATTTCAGAGAGAGAGGGAAAGTGAGAGGGAGAGAGAGATAGAAATATCGAGGAGAGAGAACTTTGATTGGCCACCTCCTGCATGTCCCCGACTGGGGATCGGGCCCACAACCTGGGCATATGTCCTGACCCGGAATCAAACCGGAGACCTCCTGCTGCCTGGGTTGATGCTCAACCACTGAGCCACAGCAGCCGGACGAATTATATTTCTATTAGGACAGTGCCAATCTAGACTATATCCCATATTGAAAAATAGTAACATGCATTCGAAAGATTTTCAGTGGTAAGGGCTGAAACAAAAGGTAGCCTGATTAAATGTTCCAGTAAATCTGGATTTTATCGAGCCAACATCTTTTCTAAAGATGGCAGTAGAAAAGATTTACATCAAACTCCCATTACTCACCTAAAATGGTTTCGTCTGTTCCAAAATGAGCTCGGTAAAATAGGACCATCTCCAGCCAGTAAACATGGTAAACAACAATGAGAATCACCACGAGCAGCACAGTGACTCCAAAACCACAGGCCAGTTCCACCGTGTATCTTGGAGCTATCACTGGAGGAAACAAAGAAACAATTGATGTCCACGTGGTGATCAGAGTGACCCATCATCCTGCAAACAGCTGGATAAGCCAAGCAGCTGGGCCATGTACACGCTTTGTGAGTGTGAACCAGCAGAGATAATATGGTAGGGGTTAGGCACTATGTTTTAATGCTAGATATGCAATATTTATCTTTTTGTTTCCAGTAACTGGCATAGAAGGCATTTTTAACATTCAGATGATTCTAACAGACTGAGGATCTTTAAATTAAAACAGAGTCTTAGCATTGAGAAGGATTTAGAAGGTTATCTAATTCAACTTACAATCTGATACCTGACTCTCCTAAAAAAATATTTTTGAAAAGTATAATTCCATCCTCTGTTTTTCCTTCTCTTGGGATAGAATCCTTATTACTACCCAGATCGGCACATGATATTGGTAGAGTTTTAATTGTTGAAGCAGTTAAATGGAGCAAAATCTTAATGCGTTTCCTTCTATTAGTCTTAATTTTGTTCTCTTGTCTAAAGCCATATGGAAGAAATTTAATTCCCTCTCCTTTATATTTGGAACTAGGCCTCGACAATTTTATTTTCACTGGGCAGAAACAGAGGTTATCCACCAAATGCTCAGTGTATGTGATTTTGAAAGTTATCTCTTAAGTCTATATTTCTAGGATACACAGTCCAAAGTCTGACTTGCAATATCCAGGTATGGGTAGATTTTAGTATATTGCAATTTGTGTACAAGCTTACTTTACCGCTTTCTCTCAGTTCCACTAAAATATATATTTATAGTCTTCTAGGTAGAGTATATATCCTCATGTATCCTACACCTAGAACACCTAGGATCTGAATGAGCATTTCCAGCTACAACTGTGTACACTTCTAGGATATTTTAAAAAATCTAATATTATACTGTGTACCAGCAACTTTACTTGGCTACTTTATTAGCTTGTGATAATGAAGCTTAAGAGTTTGAAGAAGAAAAAGAATATTTGCTGGATCAGAAGCAGGAGTGGCTTGAATTATGTATTAGTTCATTTGACAATTACCAGTTGACTTTTATTAGAAGTTGGGGCTACAATGGCAGATAAGAAAGAGAGGGTCTCTGCCCTCTTTGGGATAATATTCTAATGCAGAAAAATAAATAAATATATAGGAAAGTTAATTTTAGATAGTGATCAGTGCAATGAAAGAAATAAGCCAGGGTAACATGATAGAGGTGACTGAGGGGTGAGGTGGGGCACGAGAGGTCTGTTAAGTAGGGTGGTGAGATTAGGCATCTTTGAGCACCTGACATTGTGTGTCTGCTGAGACAAGGTATATGACAAATTTTGTGTTGTGTCATACAATTTTGTTTACAGCTGGAATTATTGAGGCTCCCTGACACCAAATTCCAGCCATCTTTGCACAACACTACAGTGAAGTTCAATTATTGGTTGTATACTAGTGGATAATTCCCTTTAAAAATAGGTATCTCTCCTAAAGGGAAACGGTAAGCAGCCCAGAGCTCAGTCTGAAGTTCTCTAAGGAAAGGGCAAATCATAGCTTTGAGTTCATTATCCTAAACTCAGGCTATTAACCCTGGGATTCAGCAATGCAGATTTTTATCAAGTACTTTTGTACTTGTTCCGTGAATAATGGGGCCTTTAAAATAAGAAAACTCCATTATAAATGCCAGGTGCTATATCAGTGCAGTTGTGGAGAATTTACTAAGTTCAATTTGGGTAGCTGGCATAAAAATTGCTGTGTCCTTGGTATTTCTGAGTACATGTTATGTTAACAGTGCACTGGGGTAATTCCCACTGTCATCTTTATTATTTGCTCAGTTATTTTGGCTCCCTCTGGGTAGACATTTTATAATGGGGTTGAGGGGGGGTGGTCAGTGGATGCACTTACCTGAAATGCATTTAAAAAATATCAATAGATATTGGCCCTGGCTGGGTACCTCAGTTGGTTAGAGCATCCTCCAGCTATGCCAAGGTTGTAGGTTCAATCCTGGGTCAGGGCCCATACAAGAATCAACCACTTAATGCATAAATAAGTGGAACAACAAATTGATCTCGCTATCTCTCATCAATCAATCAATAAAAAACATCAATAGATATTTTGCTTTAATGAGTACAAGATCAATTACCCTCATACATTTTCCTCTGCCATGTTCATTGTATTACTGCCTATTTCTAGTGGGACTTTTAAATTTTGTGTTGTGTCATACAATTACATGTGTTATATTTACAGATTGTATTTAGTGGGATCATTTGATGATATCAGGAAATTCTTACTGCTATTTAACTAACTGAACTCTTAAGATAAATAATTCATAAGCCTAAATTACTGAGTGCCTTAAATCATATACAGAAAGTATTCTAACAAAGCTTTCACATAAAGCTTTGCTGGCTTTATGTGGACCCTCAGCTCACATTTTGTCTGCCCCAGCTGTAACATCCGATGCTGTGGCATAAAGATTTTAATCTGATGCAACCCCAGACCAAAGGGTTTCCAATCATGAAGGGGTGATGCTATTTTATCATATTGGACTCCTAAACAGCCTGTGTCTGTGATCTCACTGATAATCTGTTTCAGGCTGTAGCCAAATTTAGCCACTTTTTCTGCTGGCTTCAAGGCCCACATTTGCAGCTAACCACCCTTGATGAAACCAGTCCAATACCATAACTCTAGTCTTTTATCCTGTTTCAAGTTATGCGTCTACACGCTTGCTTCTCCTTGGAAACTCAAGTTGTTCTCATCATCTCCATTACTGCAGTTGGGGCCTTGCTGTCCATTGAGTCTCCCAACCAAAATGCCAGTTGCTTGGACCTCCAAGTGTCCCCTCCCTATTCTTTCCTAAATTGCTGGGACTTCTGAACAATTTTTGGAGCTTCAGTGATGAACTTTTTCCTGAATTACAAAGAAAATGCTTTACTTGATTGACAGTAACCCAGAAGCCTATGACTGAATTGACCTGCAAATTTGTCTGCTGTCATAATGTGTTAAAACTTGCACATCTTGGATCTCTTCTTGCCTTGGAGGAGTATTTGATACTGGAGCAGCCTTCTCTCTGTGATATCTGAAATAACTGCTCCTGCAGAGTGAGACCTGCTAGGGAAAGGTCACACAAAGGGTGAGCCCCATAATCGCCCTGGCGAGTTGCCTGAAGGCACTTTTGGGACTGCAGCGTGGCACAGAAAGGGGAATCCAAAAGTACGTTAGTCACACTGAGCTGAGGAGGCAGGAAGTAGAGCTCAGGATTGTTGAACATACGGGCCTGGGTCCTGAAGACAAGAAAACTGTGAAGAGACAAAGCTTTAGGAATCTGCAAGCGTTTGGAAAAATACAAAGCTTTGCCTGTTGTGGTAACACCTTCACAAGGTCAAGCAACGAATAGCTACCAGTGAAGGAAAACTGAGCAAGGAAGAAACAATTATTAGAGAGCTGGGGACTGAACAGTTCCAGGAGTACATGCAGGGCTGGGAGGCATTGGAGTTAAGACTACTCAGGGTGAAGGAGCTTAGCTTAAGCATTAAGTAGAAACGCAAGATGGGCTAATGTCTCAAAAATAGGTCCAAGTCTGCCTTATAGAAAAGGCTATTTCAGACCTACTCTAGCAATGATAAGGTGCTTCAAAAAAAATAAGCAAGCTGTTATGTAAGTAAATTAACTAACTACTAGAACAAAACTTAACACACAGAATTCAGACACTTAATAATGTAATAACCATAATGTCCAACATAGATTTAAAAAGATTAGGCAGAAAAAAAGGCAAAAAAAAAAAGAGACCCCAATACAAATAGAACCAGAATTAACAAATGCGATGGAATTAGCAGATAAATGCTTTATGAGCATTAGAACAATAGTGGTCACCGTGCACAGAGGGAGTGCTAGGAGCCTCCCCACCCCTCCCGTAACACTAGACCCCAAGATCCCCTGGCTTGACTGCTCACTATGGTCAACAAAGCAACAGCCTTTGATGGCACAGTGAAAGAACAGGTGATAAACAAAATGAACAAAATATGGAAAAAGAACCCTTTCTTTATGATCTGGTGATGACCATGCCTGGAGTGGAGCAGCCTAACTGCACAGTGGCTTCTCATGTAACCAGACCAGGAGTGAACGATTTCAGCATTCATCCACTTGTCCTGGGGACACACATGTGGGATGAGCAAACCAACTTGTGATAGCCAGTGCGCAGCTCCCTAACAATGATGTTCAGTTTGATGCTTCACACAACAGTGAGAAAGCAGAATTTGGAGTTTTTGGCTCTGTTAGTGAAAAAAATAGAAGTAGAAATCAAGATTGACCATGAAGGAGAAGTAAAAGAGCACATTATATGCCCCGGAACCCTTGCATCATTGCAACAAAGACTCCATCCAGTGATGTTCTTGTTGCTGACAATACAAAGCACCCTTCAAAATCAGATCCTTCTGCAGAGTGCAACCCAGACATGTGTCTCTGTGGATATCAGAAGAAGGTCTATGGGCTTTCTTGAAACCCAAATCTCAGTGGGCACTTACTTAGTGCTTTAGATGACCACACCATTGCCTTTGGGACATCAGTGCTGTACCAAAGGAAGAGAACGTTGTGATGCGAAGACCATCTTTACCGGGCGTGCAGCAGCAGCAGATGTTTCCTGGCATCTGCTCCATGAGTTTCTTGGTCAGTTGCTGATGATCAGAAACTTATGATCTGGGATACTCGTTCAAACAATGCTTACAGACCAAGCCACTCAGGTGGTGCTCTCAATGCTGAAGTGAACTGCCTTTCTTTCAGTCCTTATAGTGAGTTCATTCTTGCCACAGGGTCAATTGATAAGACTGTTGTTGCCTTGTGGGATCTGAGAAATCTAAAACTTAAGTTGCATTCCTTTGAATCACATGAGGATGAAATATTCCAGGTTCAGTGGTCACCTGACAATGAGATTATTTTGGCTTCCAAAGGTACTGATCACAGACTGAATGTCTGGGATTTAAGCAAAATTAGAAATGAACATTCCAAAGATGAAGAAGATGGGACACTGGATTTGTTTATTCATGGTGGTCACACTGCTAAGATATCTGATTTCTCCTGGAATCCCAGTGAACCTTGGGTGACTGTTCTGTGTCAGAAGACAAATCATGCAAGTGTAGCAAAGGGCAGAGGACATTTATAATGGTGAAGACCCTGAAGAAATTGTGGACCCAAAGGACAGGGGTCTTAGGTATGTCTGCACTTCTTGTGATTTTGGACTCCCCTTTTTTCCTTCTCCACCCTGAGACTGAAGTAACACTGGTTTTGAGACACAGACTTTGTACAGCTATCCCTCCATAATAGGTACCATCAACAATACTATTAGCCCAAACCAAGGACGTTTTCTAAATATTAACTGAGGAACTTGATTCAGCAAAGCCACAGACTTGCATTTAAATTTTCTTCAGGAACTTTTAGTGACAGAGATCTAAAGTAGCCAAAGAAAGGGGAATATTGTGTGTGGTTATTTGATTTTTCTTCTTATGCTATATCCCCAAGTTTTTCAGACTCACTTATGTAAAGGCCAGAAGTAAGGAATAGAGCCAATGAGGTAGGTGTCTTAGTCATGAAGTATAAGTACTGCAAGGTGTCATTTTTATTTAGGAATTAGGGGAGATTTGAGTCATATAAGTTCCTATTTTAAAATCTTCACACCTGCCCTGGCCAGTTTGGCTCAGCAGTTGGCCCACCTCATGGACTAAAAGGTCGCAGGTTTGATTCCTGGTCAAGGGCACATACCTGGGTTGCAGGTTCGATCTCCGGCCCCAGTGGGGATCATGCAGGAGGCAACCAATATATGTGTCTTTCTCACATTGTTGCTTCTCTCTCTCTCTCTACCCCTCCTCCCTCCCTCCCTTCCAGTCTATTTAAAAGACAATGGAAAAATATCCTCAGGTGAGGATTAATGATCAATCAATCAATCAATCAATCAAATCTTCACACCTGACTTCCTGGGATGCACATTTTCCTATGTAGACCAGTTTTCACTCAGTTCTTAAGTCAGAACTACATATTCCTTTTCCCACGTATTTTTGCTTATTAGTGTATTTCTTGAGCTATTTTCACATTACTTATTTTTAAATTTTTTATTTTTTTTTTTTGGTAAAATTTTTTTTTCTTTTAAAAACTTTGGGACCACCAAGTTATAAAACTGTATGTTTTTACCTGACCGGTAGACTGTCCAATTAACTTGAGGACTGAATTGATGAGTTTTTGTTTTGTTTTGTTTTGTTACTTTCAGAATTAAGTCCTTGACTACAGTTTGATACCATCTCTGTTTGGCTGACCTGTTTTACCAGCAGGCCTGCTGTGCCTCATGACTAGCCGGGTTAGTGATCATAATGGAATAAACTGCTGAGTGAAAAGGGTAAAGAGAAAGTGATTTTTGAGCCATTTCCATCATCATGAAAGTTCTATTGAACAATGTTGCTCTGGAGATTCCTATTTTATAAAAATGCAGTTTTATATAAAGTTTTTGATACAATTAAATAAATAGATAAATGAAAATAAAATGAGTATTATAAATATGCTTGTTGATTATTTTAACAAGCCTATGAGCATTACAAGAGAAAATAGGAAATATAAATATAGATATTTTGATACAGAAATAGAAATTTAGCCCTGGCCGGTTTGGCTCAGCAGTTTGAGCATCAACATGTGGACCAAAGAATCATGGGTTCGATTCTGGTCAAGGGCATGTACCTTGGTTGTGTTTCGTCCCCGGCCCTGCTCAGGGTGGTGCAGGAAGCAGCCACTCAATGTGTCTCTCTCTCCTTCTCTCCCACTCTATCTGAAGATAGATAGAAAAATATCCTCAGGTGAGGATTAAAAAAAGAGAGAAAGAAATGGAAATCTAAAAACTAAAAAATACAATTTTCAAATTTAAAATGCTTCAGATTAGACACCAGAAAAGAAATGATCAGTGAATACTATAAACTATCCTAAATGAAATACAGAGGGGGAAAAGGGATGAAATAAAAATAATGAGAACTGCAGTGACCTGTGGGACAATAGCAAGTGTGAGTGTTCTGTCCTAAATTCAATTGCAGTGCTAGAAGGAAAGGAAAGAATAAAGGAAATAAAAGAATGAGCAAAGCATATTTGAAGAGATAATGGCTTAATTTTTCTTAAATTAAATTTAAAAAATAAACTCACAAACCCAAGAAGTATAAAAAATCCGAAATAAGATGTATACAAATAAAAACACCTCAAAGCGTATCATAATGTAATTTTGAAAATCAATGAAGAATAGAAAATCTGTTCTAGTGGATGCACTTGTCACTTCACATTCCTGATGCCATTCATACTAACCCACCCAGAGCACGCCCTTCTGTGAAAGGGGAGCCACTCAACTAGCTCTAGTGGATAGACTTCTGCATCACTCCTAGATTCAACATCATTTTAATTGATTGCATTGATCTTATCCACCTGACAATAGTTATTAATTTATGTCAGCCTCCATAATTGTTTCTCAAAACACGTGCCTCTGAAGACAGGTCCCATGCTTAGGAAAATGTTCCATACTTAGGAAATCTAGAGTCAAATATATTTGAAAAATTCTGCCTCTGCAAATATTCACACCGATTGTTAATATGCTAAAGTTGCTAAGAGGCCCTGAACTAAAGTAATTTGATTTTGTTTAACTTAGACTTTAATCACACATACTTGAGTACACACACCTTTGTCAAATAACACCTATGAAAATCTTGTGGAAATAATAAGAACAGCTAACATTTATTACACATTTAACATAAATGTATATATGTCAGTAACTGTGTTGAGTATTTTAAAACAACCTTATGAGGTAGTGGTATTCTTTTGTCTACTTTAAATATAAAGAAAGTGAGGCTCAGAGAGGTTAAGTGTTTTTTCCAAGGTCACAGAGTTGAGATGCAAAAAACCAGGTTGAACATAGGCCATCTGAGTCTAGAGTCTTAGTAGTGTTCTTAGGAAGAAACTTTAGGAAACACTGTCTTATAACATGTGGTTGAGCATATTCTCTTTACATTGACTTCTGAGGAACAGAGGCAATTAACTACTCAGAACCAATCTACTAAAACTTAAGAGGCATGTACACTTTTGGCCTTTGTTCTTTACTTTCTAAATCGTCATAAAATTGTTAAAGTGAAGTCTGTTTTTTTTTTTCTCCCACCAGCTTCTAAAAAGGTTTAAATGCCATTGAAAAGTGTAACAATTACTAATTAACTTTTAAAAAAAATTTTATATAAGTATCATTGGTACTATCTGACATGGGGATCTGAGATAATTCTGAATGACTTGGCTGCATGTGTGATAAATCATCATTATCTTTCTCTAGATTATTGAAAGGCATTCTTAAAGAGATTAATTGTCTGGTATTTTGAGAGCACTAAAAATAACTTTAGACATGGTCTATTTCAGGAACAACAGCTTACACAAGAAAGCCTCATAATTTTCATTTATTGTAGAAAAATATAGTAATATCAACATAGAAATCATTTTATATCATTTTAAGTCATAGTTTAAATAATTTTTGTTTTAGTAATTGTGGCTACTGGTGTATTATAAATCTGCTTGAATACTGATACATAGTGTTTAAAGGGATCATTTTAAAATGATATTTTTTGAGAATAACTATTTTACATTTCACTTTACTTGCATACAATTTGATGATTGCTATTTATGTTTCATTATTATAGATAATGCCATGAATATTGATGGAGACATAATTCTCTTTCTGTTATTTATTCATGGAAAATTCCAAAAATATTATCATATAGTATGATCATTTTTATGACTCTTGAACTCTGCCAGCAATGATTTCTAAAAGGGTCTTTATAATTCACTAACGATATGTGACTCTTTTTTTATTATATCTTTGGTAGCTTTAAATAATTTTCTTATTTTTCATTTTCATGACTATATAGATAGGAAATTATACTTCATTAGCATACTCATGGACTTTTTAGCCACATTTAGGCACTAATTACTAAAACTATTTTGAGTGTATTTGCATAGATAGAAACTTTCCCCCAAGATTTTTCATTCAACTTTGATTCATTACTGTGAGGTAGATGCGGTAAGAGCGGAGGCCACGTTCTCAATTTCTCCTCTTTTCCTTAGTCACTGCAACATTACTTCGAAGTTCCCAGATCCTCGGCTGAGTGCATTCATTACCTTTCTGCTTCACCTTGGCTGGCTGGTCAACCTCCCCTTTGGCATTTCTAGCATGACAGACATAGTTGCGTTTGAGATCTTCGGCAGTAACTTTCTTGATGCTCAGAATCTGAGTTCTTGTTTCATCTTCTATTTTAGTCAGAATTACACTAGAAATAGGGGAAATAAAATTAGAGCATTAGTAAGACTCAAGGGCCATGTGCTGTGTGCGAATCAGTCAAGCAGACAACCAGATAGACCCTAGGTGAGGGCAGAAAGAATGGAGATGAACTGTGTTGCCTTGTAATCCAGTGGTTACAAAGAACACCTTCTAGATTGCTGTACTATTTCTTACCATCTATACCAGACACAATCCCAATACCTAGATCAAATCCCAGTGTTGGCATCATACTATAGAGATAGATCTCTCTAATTCTTTCCAAAGCAAAACATCTCCTTCCCTCAAACTTCTGAGGCAGGATGTTATATTGATTTAGAGAGAAGCTTCTGAGGCCAGACCCATTTTGGTTTTGATCCAGCCAGCCTCTGCCACTTACTGGCTGTATTCTTTCAGCATGGTAATGAATCTTTCCATGTCTTGAGATCCTCTTTGAAAAAGAGGAAAGTGGTAATGTCTACACAGTGCATTACATGTATTAATTTACTCAAGAATTCTGAGGGTTGCATATGTTAATGTGTAAATAATTAGAACAATACTTAATAAATATTCATATCATTCATATAGGCTATAAAGATCCCTCAGAGATAGTTGATACATTTGAGGGATTCCCAAAGCTTTGATTTTGAATGCTACAAGTAGACTATTTTAGTCAAAATGCTGAAATCTCATGGTTAAATCATAACATACAGAAAGAAGAAACTTCCAAATAAGCAAACTTTGTGAAAATAAGCATATCTTAATCTCAGCAAGTCAGCGTTCAAGTGCTTTGGGTCCAAGATCAAGATTTAAAATCCCTTTGAACTACTTTGCTCAAAAATGAAAAGAAAAAATATATATATATATAAACATATTTCCATATATATACATACATATATACATGTACTGTTACAGCTGACTGACATCCAGGCTCTCCTGATAACGTTTACTGTCAGTCATGGGAACTGTGGCAGGTCTAGCCTAAGCTTAACCGCACCGCTCCACTGTAACAGTGAGTTGTGTTTTAACAGCAGCAAGGAGGAACCCGTGACCTTCATTATTTACTCATTGTCATTATGACAATAGGAAGCACAATCCTCAGAATTCCTGAAATGACTGATAATTCTCCCTCTGCACCTCCAGCGATGACTTTCATCAATTTGTTCTGCAAAAACCACTCCACTTTCAGCAAACTCCTTCTGTACCTTTAAATACGTTCTGCTTCTCTCACTCCAGGCCTTTGCACGAGGTTCCTTTTACTGCGAACATTGTTTTGGTGTCTTTACCTTGTTTATTTCTACTCATTTTTCAAATCTTTATTTAGGTACTGTGAGATCTGGGAAGCATTACCTTATCCCCTAAAATTGACCAGAATCCCCAACTCAGTCTTTCCCTAACATGTAATACTTCCCAGCCCCTGCAGGAATTAGAGGGCTGAAATACTTCTGCCCTGTCATTGTTTCTCCTATAGAATCTACTCAGGTACTAAGTACCTGGTTTAGGAGCTGATGCAAAGCAAACATTTTATAATATCTGCACAAAATCTGAGTTTACTATTAGGAGAGAAATATATTTTGAATTTTAGAAGTTTTAGTAGCCGAAGATCTATTTATACATTGGTGATAAGACTTAGGGTCTTAGAACTACTTTGTCATGTAGTTGGTCAGCTGCTAATTTTTATTCATAGTGCAGTGAACCAATTGCTCGCTTTAGTTGGATCCTTCATTTATAGAGGAATCTTTTGTCTTCAAGGACCCATATTTTCCTTCTTGCCAACCCAAATCCTTTTAAAAAAAAGTCATGCTTATTTTGCAATAAAGTGACCCAGCATGTTATTTTAAGAGATATGGCCCTGGCTGGTCTGGCTCAATGGTTAGAGCACCAGCCTGAGGACTAGTGAGTCATGGGTTCGATTCGGTCAAGGGCATGTACCTGAGCTGCGATTCATCCCTGGCCCTGGTTGAGGTTGTGCGGGAGGCAGCCACTCTATGTGTCCCTGTCACGTCGATGTTTCTCTCTCTCTCTCTTCCTCTCTCTCCCTCCCACTCTATCTGAACAAAAAAATGGAAAAAAATGTCAGGTGAGGATAAAAAAAAAAAAGAGTGAGGTATGTATCACCATCCCATCCACTTTAAAAATAAAATCTAGAGAACATGAATGTATTTAATCAATATGAAAAAAATCATTACCAATGATAACTGTGGCATATGTGTTATGTGAATTAAGAAAGAAGGAGAAAGAGAAAAATGCATGCTTACTCCAAGACAAGAAGCTAACACAGTTATCTAAGGCACAAATACTTATAGGCCCAGACTCCAGACTTGAGAAAGAGAAGAACAGGGCCACACTGGCAGGATTTTCTCTCTCCATAATCATGTACTATGGCATTTTCATTCATGTAGGATATACATTGGATCTGCTTTCAAGCAGGTATCTGAATGTGTGACCGTCAGATGTGTGGCCTCCGATCACAAGTCCAGGAATCCTGCTTTGGGATGCAGCCACTAACGACTTGAAAATCTTGCTGATTTTTGTTAATTGGAATTCTTATTTTCATTGATGAGTACACACCAGATTGCATTATACTGAGGAACAGGGTTAGTCTCCCCCTTGCCTGAACCAATGATACCTTTCATTAACAGTTACGTCAACAGTGGTGTCGTCTAGCTTTTTTCCGTCAATGGTCCACCAAACCTCATTGTGAGAGTCCTTCAGGAAAGTAAAAAAGACTTTACAGGGGATGATTAGCTCCTCTCCTAAATAAAACAAAACAAAACAAAACAAAACAAGTTAACCCATTACTTTGTAACCTTTGCATGACTGTATTGATTCTACTCCGTGACTAATCAGAGGTTATAAATGTCGCATGCATCTACAATCCTATTTCTCACTCTAGTGGGCTACCATAAGGTAATGTACCATACTTCCCTGCAAACCAAACAAATCAAGAAAAGAAGCACTGCAGCTTTAAATAAAATTATGAGAATGACCATCTTTTAATACAATCTCTGTATGTTTAAAATGTCATTATCCGTTCAAAAAGGCTCTGACAACATCCTGTTTAGCCCTAACCCTTCATGGACTACTCTTCTTTCTTATTTCCTTTAGAAACAAAGGATGACAAAAAAAAAAGGTTCTCCAGATCTTTGGTCCTTGGCCCAGAGAAAATGGGACAGTGCCATTGCTGAGGGCTGGCTGGACAGGCCCCATCTGGGAATGCTCCCGTTATCGGGGGCACTCGGTAAATCTGAAGACCATTTACACATGGAAAGTCTATGCTATCCTTCTGAGATAGAAGATGAGGTGGGGGCTTTCTAGGCAGAAAATGGTAGTAAAAACAAGAGCAACAGCATACTCACTGAGAGTTTCGTATAATTTCCTGTGCTAAATATTTATAAATATTCTAATTTAATTATAACAAAATACTATGAGGCATTTTTTAAAAAATCCATGTTTTACAGATGTAAAAACTGAAGCTTAATGTTGTAAAATGCCATTCCTAGATCGAATTGATAGTAAATGGCAGATCGGGATTTGACCTAGAATGACCTTCTATTCCAGGTTGCCCAGGACAGTTGTTTTGTGCTCGTTTTCCTTGTCATTAATATCGACTGCTTTCACTCTCAAAAGGTGTCCAGGTTGAGATGATCAATTATACTGTCATCCTAATTGGAACTCAGGTTTGTCTTCCTTAGTGCTCACACTCCGTCCTCTCTTCCAGTGCATGGCCTTATGCCTTCCCCTCCCATTTTCTATATCAATATATAGGAAGATAAAGTGAGCATGGATTCAGGCCTGCTTTTGTAACCATCATGTGATAAGGAGATGAAACATATCTAGATGTTTACCCTGATAGCATGAAGAATGTTTAAATTGCTATATAAAGCCACTAGTAATTCAAGGAAAATTAGTCCATTTGGGGTTGGCAGATCCTTTAGTGTATTCTTTTTATTATTATTATTATTAATTAATTTTTGTTACAGACGTTTCTCCTTTTTCCCCCCCATTGGCTCCCTCCGCCCTATCCCCTCCCACCCTGTCCCCAGCATTGTTGTCTATGTCCATTGGTTATGCATACCTGCATATAAGTTCTGTGGTTTATCCCTTCCCTCCACTGCTGAGAAAGACAAATATCACATGATCTCACTTATTTCTGGAATATAATGAACTAAACAAACTGATGAATAAAATAGACCCGGAGACATAGAAGTAGGGTTCTTTGTGTTTTTACAGGCAGATCACTATTTGAAACCTTATCTTAATTTGCGGGGGTATTGTTGTTCTCTGCCTATGGTGATCACGGCCTCTATTTACTTTAGTACATTTTAAACACATGTTCTTTTATAACTCTCATTGGGTTTGCTGTGAATTTTTTGTAAAATACAGAAAACCTTAAAATTTTCTACAGTTTTCAGCTTAACTGTGGGAGGCTATGAGTCAAAAGAATAATACATCATACCTTATTTGGTCAGTTACAAGTGATTTTTCTCTTAAATGAAAAATTATGAAAACTAAATAGACCCAGACAGCCATAGCCACATTTCATAGTGGTTTAATCAGGTGTATTAGTTCTATCAGTTGTTACCTATTATATTCACAGTCCGGACTCCAAGCTCCAGCCCTGCCCCCCGGTAGTGGATGCCTTGTGCTCATGCTGTAGACGTGGCAAACCACAGCCCCAGGCGAGCTACAGTTTGCATCAGACAGAAATCACTGATCAGGAAGGGAAACCTGCTGCACAGGAAGAAGGAGGCAGCAGCTGCTAAGAGAGAAGCAGAGAGTCCCGAGCTCCCCATGATATCCATGAGGTAGCTAATGCTCAGAGGTGCTTTGGTTTCTGACATCAGTTTCAATTCGTGTCTTTTTTTTTTTTTTTTTTTTTTTTAAGAATAGCCTTCTATTCTCTTGTGTTAACTTCTGTGGCATTTTATTCCTTATAATTAAGAGAATCTAACTGAAATTCAGAGGCACAGCTATAATTACCTGGTTCTTTCTCATACACCACAAGATCATTGGGTGAATGGATCTGGGGGGGCAATGCATATTTTGGAGACCCTGTGGGAGTGTAAAGAACAAAGGGAGATGATGTTAAGTCATTTAGTATTTATCTCTTTTAACCCATTTCAAAAATATTCTCTCCTGTAAAGGCTTGCCCAACTTCCTGGCATAGTTAGTCAATTCTCTTGAGAACACCCACAGTCTAATATATAGTCAATTATAATATTTCATTCATATAAACAAATAAAGAAACATATGTTGAATATCCTTAATATTTGAGAACAGCATGTTTAACTAGTGTTTTCACTTTCCAAAGCTTATGTGAGACAGACTTCTCTCATACTGTATCATAATTAATTGCTCTCATGTCTTGCTCAATTGTTTCCTTTCTACATATTTCTCAACATTCTCAGAGTATCTTGTACAAGACCTAAATAGTATTAACATGAGTGAATAAGTGGAACGTTTAAAATCACAATTGTGAGCCCAGCACCTAAGTATACCTGATGTCTAGTTATCATTAGAAGGTTCACTCATAAGATTAATGTTCTTTATAACAGTCTATATTCCTCAATTGAATGAAAATGTCTTGAAGGAGCTTTATATTATATTACTTAAGAGTAGAGACTTCAAGAATTTAATGACCAGGTATTCTAATTCCAACTTTGCCATAAACTAACCATCCAACTGTTTATTTTGTTGTTGTTGTTTTTTTAAATAAATCTTGGAAAAGGTAATTTCCTCAACTTTAAAATGAGAGTAATTAATCTCAGTTCATGGGTTCATTATAAGAATTAAATTAAGTGACACATATTAAAGCATCCACTGCGCTTAAATATACACATACAACTGCCAAGATGAATGTGAGGTTAGATTATTCATTTAACTTTTAAAGTACATTCATGTCAGGTTCCAAATTTAGTCTGATTTTCTTCTGAATCAGTCCCCAACTCAGCACTATTCAGAAAGTAAGCAGAGAAAGAGGAAAAGTGATTACAAAAGTGTTCGATTCAAATTTTATTTGCACAATGTTAAAACCCTTTCAAAGAAATACATAAGCTGAATCTGGTGTCAGACTGGTAGGAAGGAAAAAGCCTCGAACAGAAAGTCAGAAAGCTGCGATTTAGAATCACTTCTACTATTACCTTGAATATCTCTAACTAAGTAGGTTGCTTTCTGTTGTTGGGCCTCAATATTTTCATCTATTAAAAGATGGGATTTCAATTTTTAAAAATTGTGAAATACCTTATACCAATGATTTACAGATTTTTAAAAATGACAATAAATTGTTTTTTTCCTAAAAAAAGATGGGGTTTGACAAAATCTCACTGTGATATGCTCTCATTTCAGTACAGAGGGCAGTGGTATGAGGGTCCTCGTTGTGGGTTTCCTAGGAGTCAGTGGACTCTGCCTAGACATTGCCCTTTCCACTTGCCCAGGTTCTCACCCCTCTTCTCTCAGTGCAGGCCAGTGGTTGAACACTGCCAGCAAATACTCTGAACATTAACTGCAACAGCAGTATAGAGAAATACATATTTTAGTTAATTCTATTTAAATAGTTTTTGGATAATAATAATAACTATTCACTGAGTCTCTATTGATTGCCTGGAACTATATTACCATAATATGTATATTATTTCTAATATTCTCAGTTATCTGGAATGTTAGGGAGTCTAAGTCTCAGAGGGCAGATAAGGAGACTCATGTCTACTATTCATGAATGGCAGCAGTAGAATTCGAACACAGATCTGTCTGGCACTCCTTTCGCTGCTCAAACTGCCTTTACTTCACGTATTCACATATTCATTCAATAGACTAATAGTTACTGGATGCCCACAATGCACGTGGAAATGATGGAGGCTCTGGGGATAGTGCAATAAACAAAAAACATAACCCTTTTTTCTTAGAGATTTTACACACTTGTTTATAACAAACTGTTAACAGACAAAACAAAATTATTGCATTTTTTTCATGTGCACTTAATACAAACCATGCTTACCAACCACCTTTACAGTCAGAGTCCTGGTGAGATGGAACTCGCGCCCATTTTCTGGATATGTAACAACGCACGTGTAATCTCCATTATTTGAAACCAAAGCTATGAGGAAACTCAAATTCATGTCTTCAGGTACCACATTATTAAAGTCTTCTATTTTTTGACAGCCCTAAAAGAAAGAAAAGAAAATATGTTTTCTATTTACATACATGCGTAGGGAATATATAAGCACATGCAGATATTTAATTTTGCACAGAACATACACATATCTATGCTGGCTGCACCCTTTACAAAACTATTTTGCTCAAATATTTGACAATGTTTCTGCAAAGAGTGAATGCTTTAAGTTTTGTCATCTTTTCTGCAAAAGAAAATTAATGTTCTGAACTAAAATGTAAATTCAAAAGCACTAGCTTGCTGTCTCAGGATCCAGTATTCAGATTCTGGGAATCTCATGTTAACAGTGAAGCAAGGTAAAGTACTGAACAGCAGCTAAGGCAACCTAAACTGCTGTTTGCTCTATTTAGTTTCTGAAAAATTATTTTTCATTTTTCTACATTTCTTCACTGTTTATTATAAATGCAGGAATCCAGCCACTCTGCTTGACAAACTAGGCCTCAATTTAGATGTCTGATTTTGGCATTCTTGATCACTCTGTTGTATCACTATATCAGCATGTACAAACTTATCCTATATTTATCCTATGTATTGAAATTAGATAACACAGACTCCAGAATCTAAAAATAAAAAATATTTTTATGAGTCTTACCAAGAGTTGAGGTTATTTCTGCTCCAACTCACATTTTAATATTTTAAAAATTTTGTGATTGAAGTGTCTCATTCAATATAACTAGAATACTGTTTGAATCTCTACCTTCTACTAATTGGTTATACTGTTATATTTTGTTTGTTTTAGAGAAAAAAATTATGCAATCATCTGTGACTAAACATAGTTGAACATTTACTTTAGAAAAATTCTGTGTTTGTTTTTCTGTTAAAAACCAATAATTCATCTACGACATAAGGGATTATCTCTAAGTTCCCTTAGATCTTTACAATTCTGTGAGTGTATTACTGGCTTATACTTTCAATTTCCTGTATTCACATATTTAATTCTCGTATACTTCAGGTTTTCTTACTTAAATTCCTGGAGCACGTGTTTTGAAATATGACAGTTACTCTAAGTGGCATATTTTGTAATTCTTTGTAACAGGAAATATGTCTTTTAAGAATAGCATTAAAGCCCTGGCCGGTTTGGCTCAGCGGTTAGAGCGTTGGCCTGCGGTCCGGAGAGACCCGGGTTCGGTTCCCGCTAAGGGCACGTACCTCGGTTGCAGTTTGTCCCCGGCCCTGGTTGGGTTGTGCGGGTGGCAGCCACTCGATGTGTCCCTTTCACGTCGATGTTTCTCTCTTTCTCTCTCTCTCCCCCTCTCTTTCCCTTCCACTCTGTCTGAACAAAAAATGGAAAAATGTCCTCCGGTGAGGATAAAAAAAAAAAAACAAACAAAAAAAAAAGAATAGCATTAAAGATTTGATTCATGGGGATTATCATCACAAGAAAGCTGATATATGCTCAGTTAGGTTATTTTCTAAGTATAATTTTTCCTGTTTTGATAAAAGTACTTCTAGACACTTGTCACATCAGCCAGAGATTTTAATACTCTTAGGTTATCACAAAGTATGAGGCCACAAAAGCCTGCACTTATAAAGAATTTATGTCAGATTTGGTTTAAATTGAGTTTAGACTATCTAGAGAACTCGACTTGACTTTTGTGACATCTTCTATTTAAACAGTTCAAAGCTATTTTCTTCTCTGGTTTGTTAACTTGGCTATTCTTAAATCCCTGTTAAGTAGACAGATCAGATTAAATATGCTATAGTTTTAAAAGTGGGAAAAAAAGGAAATGGACAATGAAGAGCTATTCCAGATAACACAAAGCAGAGCTAAAACTCAGTTTTCCAGATAGCTCAAAAAAGGTCTTGAACTAGCTTCTTAACTAAGAATAAGCATCTCTGCTCAGCAGTTATTTGAGGCTGAAAAAAATACAGTGAGACAGCCCTGGCCAGTTTGGCTCAGCTGTTGGAGCGCCAGCCCACAGACCAAAGTCCTAGGTTTGGTTCCTGCTAAGGGCGTGTACCTCAGTTGCAGTTTGTCCCTGGCCCTGGTTGGGGTTTCAGGGGTGGCAACCAATCGTTGACGTTGGGGTCTCTCTCACGTCAATGTTTCTCTCTCTCTTCCTCCTTTTCTCCCTCCCACTCTATCTGAAGATAAATGCAAAAATGTCCTTGGGTGAGGATAAAAAATATATATATTTTTAAAGTACACTGAGACAAATGCACTTACATTGTCTCATCTGGGTGACATTGGTTAACAGGATCACACAGCTTTCAAGTGGACATTTCTAAGCTACATGATCTGTATGTTGCATCATGTGTCTACCACCCAGAGTCAAATCATCTCCCATCACCAAATATTTGTCTCCCTTCACTGGTTTTAACCAAAATAAGAACTTCAAAAGTCCATTTTAAAGCTATTAGACCTATGTAGCATGCAAGAAGAGGAAGTGAAGGAAATATTTTAGATTGTAAGTATGCATATGTGTGATGGGGTAGCTTCAGGGCATTGTTGAACCACTAACTTTGGCCTGTAGTGTGTGATGGACTCTGTTTCTTATAAGCAGATACATCTCTAGACCCTTCGCACATATACCTGAAACATACAGAATATTTTCAACATAATAAAATATTCCTGAAAATAAAGCCTACAAATTTTCTTATAATTTCAAAATCATTTATTTGTAATCCAGAAAAATAAAAGACAGGAACAGAGTTCTAGATACCCAAAGAACAAAACAACGTGCTTCCAAATGCAAGAAACAGGTTAACAGTAAGCAGATTTCCACTATGAGGCAAACACTTGTCTGACTGGAAGACAAATCATCCATTTAGTTGATCCATCAGTTCCTCATTCTGAATTCAAAAGAGAGAAGTTAAACAGGAGAGCAACTTTTCAACCACACAGCAGTAGCCATGGCAACCTACTATGACTTGTAGGTAGAGTGTGAGAGGAAAAACAGCATGTGGTAAGGTATGGGGTGTGGTTGGGGGGGGTGCCTTGACTAACTGTGGATAAGTATTTCCATGCCATTCACCATTTAAGAACTGTGTGAGGGCACAAAAAATGGAAAGGACACAGTTCCTAACCTATGTACGTATGGTCTTGTAGAGAATTGCAACAAATACTGTGGAAGGATATCAGGGTCAGGAAGTGGGGGGAAATGGAATAGAAAACATTCAGAAAAAACTGCATGGAGAAGAAAGAGTTGAGTTGGATCTTTAAGGATAAGTGAAATATTAATAGCTATTAACTAAGAAGAGAAACATGGAAAAGAGCACACCAGAAACAGGAGAAAGTTATGAATAACTTCTCTGAAGTCTAATAGCATTTTGCCCTCTGTGTCAGTATTTAACTAACTTTATATTATTTTCTTATTTTTTTTTCAATTACAGTTTACAGTCAATATTATTTGTATTAGTTTCAGGTGTACAGCATAATGGTTAGACCATCTGTACTTTACAAAGTACTCCCCCAATATTTCCAGTACCCACTTGGCACCATACTTAGTTATGACAGTATTATTAACTATGTTCTCTATGCTGTATTTTACTTAACCAATTTTATTATATAACCTTTCTTCATGTTTGTCTCTTCCTCTAGAAAATTTACTCTTACGGGGCAAGAGAGGAGTGAATGAGTACCGTACTTCATGGCCAGCAGCTTGCCAAATATTTAGCTCAATCCATTTGTGCTGCATGATCAAAAATAATGAATGAGAGAAGCAAAGACAGAAGACACGGGGTTGAAGCTCATGCAGAGCTTACAACAAGATGGCTGTGTGAAATACAAGATGTGGCGTGGGTGAGCTGAGGATGAGTGGGGAAAGAGGGAGCAAGTATACAAAGAGTTTCACTGAGATATATGGTTAGAACAGTTGGGGATAGCTATTGAAATGTTAGCTCCAAAGATTAAGTTGGTATAAACTATATCATTCTTACTTACAAAGTCGCATAAGAGCTCTATATATCAGTCAATTTCAATGAACAAAACTAAAGCCATTCCAGTGTTCAAGCAACAAATATTTACAAAATCCCTTCTTGTGACAGACACTGTGTTAGGAGCTGGGCATAACGTAGCCATTAAATACAGAAATGACCCTTATTCCCATGGAGTTTTCCAGTCCCATCAAATCCACTTAATAATTTAATCAATTCCTAAATACAGTTTATTGGCTCAGTTTTGTGCTGTGTGCTTGGTCTTCAAGGGAAAGAAAAGGAGAGGTTGTTATCTAGTACAGAAGAAAGAGGTACAATCATTATAGTAACAAAAATGAGGTATAAATTAAGTGCTACCAAAATAGAAAGTGGGTGACTCATTCAGCCTAATTCGGCCTCAAGGTTTCACAGATATCTGAGCTTGGGTTAAGTTTAGAGGATGGATCGTGGATCCTTAGAAGCCCTGAAACTATATGTGAATTCCTGTGTGTATACACGCAAATATGGAATTAAACGTGTATAGTTTAAAGGTAAATGTGCTACATATTTCCTTCATACCAAAAATTAAAAAGCACAATAGGGGAACTGCAGGGAAAGGAAAGAGATAAAGGACCAACTAGACTAATTTTTCAAATAGAAACAAACACTTTAAAAATAAAGTCTATACAGACTTGGACAAACTTCTCTACAACATGTGCTACGCTGGAAAAAAGGCCAAGTCTTGCACTAGATCAGAAATGTGCTTTCCTGATGGCACTTTGTCAGAAAAAGCAGATTTTCCTGTTTTCTGAGAGAGATTTATAAATATTATCTGACCAATTCTGATTAATTTTACACTGAAAATTAGAGGTGGAGGTAATATACCATTTTTTTTTATTTGTTTATCCTCATCCGAGGACGATAGATAGATAGATAGATAGATAGATAGATAGATAGATAGATAGATAGAGAGAGTGTTCGAGTTCAGATAGAGTGGGTGGGGGAGAGAGAGAGAGAAACATTGACATGAAAGGGACACATCAAGTGGTTGCCACCCACACAACCCAACCAGGGCCGGGGACAAACTGCAACTAAGGTACATGCCCTTAGCAGGAACCAAACCCTGGTCTCACCAGA